TTGTAAAGCGGCATGGAATATAATCAATTGTAATAGAAACCAGTCATCTTCTTTCGAGTGCTCGGCTAGTCCTGATCTTTTCAATCAACATTTTGTGAACTCTGTGAATCGTATTGTGGCAGATACCCCACCTCAGGTCAATGAAGCAGCTGCACAGGTAGCAGGCCTACTTGTGGAAAGGCCTCAAGATTGGGTCCAATGGAAAAGGGTTACCCCGGATGATATTGTAAATATAGTAAATAGGTTTAAGGCTTCTCCTTGTGTTGATATATACGGGATGTCATCTATCTTCCTGAAGACTGTTATAAGAGCAATTGCCCGCCCTTTGGCTGTAGTTTGTAACTTGTGTTTGGAACAGGGACATTTTCCCAAGGAACTAAAGATATCACAAACTACTCCAAAAAAACTGAGGATACTCAGTACCTGTGTATAAGAAGGGAGATGCTGAATCATTAAACAGCTATAGGCCTATTAGTGTCATTCCTATGCTAAGGTGCTCGAGACTATCATCAATAGGCAGCTTCTTGATCATTTTGAAACCAACAATCTGCTGAATAACTCGCAACATGGCTTTTGTAGGAAACGTTCAACCATCTCTGCCGTGAGGGCTGCTATTGAGACTATTCACAATGCCTTTGAAACCGAAGAATCCGTACTGTTAACACTATTGGACTTATCTAAAGCATTTGACTGCGTATTGCATGAATTGCTTCTAAGGAAACTCTCCCTGTACGGGTCTGGGGGGGATGTTCAATGGATGTTTACGTCCTACTTCAGTGGCCGCCAGCAGGTGGTATCAATTCAAGGTGCAAAATCTGGGGTGGCTGCGATTACGAGCGGAGTTCCACAAGGCTCAACCCTCGGACCTAGCCTCTTTATCATCTTAATAAATGACTTCAACCTAGAGAGCTATGATCCCCTATTATATGCAGACGACACTACCATTATTAATCGTGGTAGTAACATGGCCAATTTAACAATGGGGTCGAATCTCTGCCTAGGGGAGGCTAAAGAGTGGTTTAGGCTAAACGGACTGCAGTTGAATGAGGGGAAAACTCAGCAGCTGCTCTGCAGCTTGTGGACCCGCCCTGAAGCCAGGTTGGATGGGCCTAGTGTGAGTGCAGTCAAACTGTTAAATGTTACCATTGATGAGAAACTTACCTGGAACCAGCATATTGATGAAATTTGCAAAACATTGTCTCGCGTTGATTGATTGATTGATTGTAAGAGGGTGGACTCATGGTCCAAGCACGTCAACCGGAGCTTATTGTGCATCCCGCTTGCCACTAACTGGGTAAGCCTATGCCTGTGTCCCTAACTAGGTGCAGGAGCTTTTGCCCAATGTTAGCGTCTGGTTCCTCACCTGGCTGCTTTAGACCAAACAGAGCCCTTCTCCTAGCCCGTAGTCCATCGCAGTCCAGAATAATGTGTTTTGCAGTCTCATCGGACTGGTTACAAAGTCGACACTCCTGCTTGTCATTGACAATTCCTAGAGTGTGGAGATGTTTCCTGAAATGGCCGTGTCCAGTGATAAGAGCAAGTACCTGCTTGACCTGCCCTCTCCCCAGCTTTAGCAGCCAGCGAGTGAAGAGGGTGCTAGGTTCTGAGAGCAGTTTTTTGCCAAGTGATTGTCCAGGATAATTCCGCCAACGCTCAAGATGTTGTCCCCTGGACCATTTGTTGATTACATGTTTAGCGGCTGCTTTGCTGATGCCACAAAATGGCTCTGATCCAAAGAGTGGCATGCTCGCACCTTTTTTTGCCAGCTTGTCTGCACTCTCGTTGCCTCCAATGCCTACATGGCCTGGGACCCAGCCGAGAGTTACAGAGTTCTGTGATACAAGTCTGCAGAGGGAGTTGAAACACTCCCAGACCAGTTTTGAGGTGACTTCATTTGAGTCAAGAGCTTTGAGAGCAGCCTGACAATCAGATAAAATCACTATCCTTTTGTCTTGGTACCGTCTGGATAGTCCTAGGTTGGCACAAGCCAAGATGCCATAGATTTCTGCCTGGAAGATGGTACAGTATTGTCCCAGACTTCCTGATAGTTCTGTTCTGGGTGATCGACAGTAAACCCCAAAACCAGATTTTCCATCGATTAGGGAGCCGTCTGTGTACCAGACGAAGCTCTCCATATCTTGGAGATGCCCTTCCTGATGTTTCCCCTCATCTCTGGAGCGGAATTCAACATTAAAGGGTTTGGTGAAAACTGCTTCCTTGCTTAGGAAGTCCGAGGTCATGTCAAGCACAGGACACTCAGCCAAAGTCTTAGCAATGGCGCAGTGGCCTGCCCCTGACAGGCGCGTTGTCTCGCGTTAATTGCCTTTTAAGAAAACTAAAATCCCAGGTGACGTCTGACTATCTTAAACTAGCCTACTTTGGTTTGTTTCATTGCCATTTAAGCTATGGCTTGGTCCTATGGGGCCATGCTCCAAACACTACAAGAGCTCTGATTATGCAGAAGACTGCTGTTAGAATTTTATCTTTGAGTGGTAGATGAGATCATGCCAGACCACTTTTGGAACAACTCAGCATTCTCACGATACATAGCCAATACATACTGGACTGCCTCCTTCTCTTGAAAGCTGACCCTAGGCTCCCTCATATTACACGAGACCAACTCCACAATTACAACCTGCGCTCTGCAAGGAATGTGGATGTCCCGAGATGTAGGCTATCAAAGACCAAGGACTGCTTTCCAGTGTTAGCACACAAGCTCTACAATAGACTGCCCCTCCACATTAAAGAACTCCTTCTTGAACCTTTTAAAGTCAAACTAAAACAATGGCTGAATAGGAAGTGTTTTTATTCCATTGAGGAATACTTTTCTACTACTATGGACTTTTGAGTATGAATCCGGCCGCCATGGAGTGTAAATATTGTAAATATTAGTTTATTTAGTTTTTAAAAGTAAATTTTATCTGACAAGATCAATCCAGACATCTGGTCAACGATCGCCAGTTGGTAATGGTAATGGTATATGCGTGTAAACTGGCTGTTGTGATTTACCTATATTTAGTTTTAATAATTCCCGTGTGTAGGACGGGCCAACAGCTCGTTCTAATTTAATTCTCATCACAGTCTCGAAAATCATTTCAAAACATTTCAATCCTTTAAATTAAACAAAGTTCTAATAGCCTACCTTATCTGACAGCTGGATGGTAAATTGAAGTTATGATGAAATTTAAAATGATGAATTTAAAATGATGAAATCTGAGTTTACAACTTGCCTTTTAGACTAAAGTTTCCAATAATACAATGAACGTTTTTAACAACAGAGCTTTTATCCTCAAGAAGCTGTTAAGATATTATTTGCAGCATTTTTTTTTAAAGCCACGATTATACAAAAGTTCACAAAATAAATGTTTATGTAAGACTATACTAAGTTGACAATGAGGTGTTTTATTCCAAAAAATTGTTGTAAACTCTGGTGTAGGCGTAAATGTGGATTTGGACTTAACTACTAACACCTAAAATAGGAATTCTAAGTATACTTAAATATTTTACTTTGATATGGAGACAGGCCCGTTTTTGACCCTGTCAGCGCCCTAGGCACAACTAATAGTAGCGCCCCTTCGCATTATATATAACAGGGTATCCACCAACCGGAAAAGTCGGGAAATCCGGGAATTATGCGTGAGTTTTGTTTAAACCGGGAAACACGTTGATAATGTCCACACGACCGTGCGAAAAGATCAGAATTTAGCCTCATTCGGAAGACGATGATCTCCACATGGCCGCGGAAGATGATTACCATTTGGACACAATCGCGGGGGGCGATTAGTCCAAACGACCGCGCGGAAGATAATGATGCCTTCACGGTCGCGAGGGTTGTTCAGTATTTTATCGCGATCGCGCAAGACGATGGTGTCCCCACGATCGCGGGAAAAGATCGGAATTTTGCCTCATTTGCGGTAGACGATGATGATCTCCACAAGACCGCGAGTGATGATTACCATTTTGCCGCAATCGCGGGAGGCAACTACTATGTCCACACGACCGCGGGGCAGCGGGGGATGATATAATGATGTCCTCAAGGCCGCGAGTGGTGCTCAGAATTTAACCGCTATCGCGCACGACGATGAAAATGTCTACAAGACCGCGGGAAAAGATCAGAATGTTGCCTCGTTCACGGTAGACGATGATAATCTCCTGACGACCGCGGGATATGTTCATATATTTCCGCGATCATGGAAGACGATAATTATGTCTACACGACAGCGAAAAATAGTCAGAATTTAGCCGCAATCACGGGAGACAATTATTATGATGTCTACACGGCTGTGAGAGATTATCAGAGTTTTAACGTGATCGTATGCAAATACAACCACAAAATATTTTACTTCCCAATTTTTTGGCGCCCCCCAAAAAAGCCAATTGCCTCGCGCCCTAGGCACGTGCCTACCTTGCCTATTTGGTAAATCGGCCCTGTATGGAGACCATACAAAAGTAGGTATTTTAAACAAAGTATGAATGGAGGTAAGTGTAGTATGAGTGGCGCAATCTTGTAGTCTTGTTACTGCCTAAGGCCGACGTATTCCGTAGACACAGCTGTTAATTGATAGCCCATACAGCCAACGGCAACTAAGAGGCCTACAGTCTATAGTGGAATCTGAACCACATTTTTGCCTTGTAATTAACAAATTGGTATAATTATCAGGATTGTACTACGAATAGTCATAGTCTTACTAGTGTGGATGGTAATCCATACCAGGGAGTATCGCATCCACAGTGCATGCCTATAAATATCCACAATTCGTGACCTAGTAAACACTTATAATAAATAACCTATATGCATTTTCTGTGCATGTCCCCAACCAAAGATCTAGACACTTAACTGTCAAAGTGAAGTTAATAACGGCAATAGATTAAATATTTATTCTGAACTATCAGTCTTTAAGACAGTTCTGTCAAAGTTTCCAAAGAGTTTCCCAAAAGTTTCCCAAAGATCAATTAACATTGTACATGATATTATAATGTTTTTAATTTAAATTTTTTAGGCAGAAACAAGGAAGTGCGGTTACTGATAGTGTTTTAGTACAAGGACCACCTGGATTAGCTTTTGATTTTGAACGGACTGACTCAACAAGAAGACTTCGTCTTGTACTATATGAAATCCTGATGCTCCAATCACAGGTATTAAATACAGCATAATTACACTTTTTAACCAAGTGAAACATAAAAGATAGTAACTTATTCTAATTGATGCCATTTTATATGTCACATAAAATATTTCAGTACCTACGGTAACAAAAACTAAGAGGAAATATATATTTTTAACAGAAACACAACTCTGTAAATGGATTATTCAACTACCTGTGTTATTTTATGAACTAAACAACTGCCACAGAAGGGTTGATTGAATATCTCTATTGCAGTATCCAAAATCAATTATTAGCTAATCTCTATTTGAACAGATATGATGAATTTTCGGATAGCGAGACAAAAATGGATTTTAATATCGTGGTTTTGTGAAACATTGTGTAATAGTCGTCTCACCTGAACTTCAGTCACACCTTAAAATTTGTCTGGATAGCCTAGCCTACAATGAGATGGTCCAGGATTCTAACGTGTTTGTTTATTAATTCTCCTTTCGAGTGTTTTGGCTCAGATTATATTACAACAATGCTAACAACTATATTAGCTTACCTTCAACAAGTGATCATCACAGCCACTCGAAATATGCGTTGAGATCAAATTTGGAATTTAATATCGCGCGATTAAGAATATAACGGAATTATTTTACGAGGTTTAATAAAACGTGAATCGGTTCCTGGTTTTCACATTATAAGGGAAGTTAAACATGTCCTAATAATAATAACTTGGTCAACCGCCAGATTCGTTCGTAACTAATTTTAATCGGTCGATATAACGTGGTGTTTATAACACAAATTGAAAAATAAAACAGTTATATCTTAATGCTTGGTAACCACCAAAGCCTGTAAGATAGAATCTACACTTACTTGCGTGCATAGAATCCTGCCTTGAACATGTGTAATCGACGAAATGCGAAATACAACTTCAAATAATTATATTGACTGGAACTGGTAAGTCAATAGAGCATTATCACGTGGCTCTACACTTACCAGTGTTCGTATCGTCTCGTGATTTTAATATCAGCTATCGCCAGATATTATTTCATAGGGACTAGGGAGTCATGTAGTGAACGTTTCGTGGTTGAAGGACGACTGACTGCCTCGGGGCGCTTCTTGTGTGGTTCTTTCCTACCGCCCCTAGTGTCGGGGTTGAGAACTACAGTCATCCCCTCCATATGACGTCACTATTTCCAGTGTTCATTGCGGCTTTTTCGTGAAACAAATCAACGTATTTGGGATGACCGTGAAATATTACCCCACGTTAATTTTTGACCCGCTACTCAGAGACAGTTATAAGCTTATCTTATATGGTAGCTAAATCTCTGCAGAAAATCTATATATATAATCTAACAAAAAACCACTAAGTGGTAACACTTTCCCCGCCAAGTCAGCAATCCAAAAAAGATAATAAATCATTACTTTTTCCGCCAAGAAAAACAATGTAATGTATGTAAGTTTGGCAACTTGCCGGCAGACTTTTGCTCGATCACTTTAAAAATACCATAAAACTAGTTTCATTGAGCAAGTATCTCTCCCATTAGTACATTGCTAGGTGAGAGCTTATTTTACAAAACTTGACCTTATTTGTGCCACATTTCATAAAATCATAATAGTGATGGTTTTATATTTACTGATTACCTCGAAATTATTATACTTAGTTGGACTAATTAATTAGAGAATTTGATTTGTGAAATTATCCACGAACGTAACTTAAATGAAAAAAAACCAAGCAAAAGTCTGCCGCCAAGTTGCCAAACTTACATACATTACATTGTTTTTCTTGGCGGAAAAAGTAATGATTTATTATCTTTTTTGGATTGCTGACTTGGCGGGGAAAGTGTTACCACTTAGTGGTTTTTTGTTAGATTTTATTTATTTTTGTAGAAAATTAACCGTTCAAATAAAAATACTCTTTTCTCTGAAAAAAAAAAAATAAATTTTAATGCTAAAGTTGACTGAACTCTCGATCTTCCGGTAGTCTTTGCAGAGGGTACCGGTTTTGTACTCTCATCCTGCACTTTTTTGACATTTTTGGTCTGGCACCACTTCCTGTCTCTCACATAAGGAGCCGAAGAGGAGTCACAACTTGTGTTGTAAAGTGGAAGGTCAGACCTGTACTTCTGCCTTAGTCTGTTGTATTCCAGAATGGCGGATTTCTGAGGCTTCACATCTCTTGGGTTAAAGTTAATAAGATGAAGCCCTTCTAATGAAGTCACTCGTGACAAGGCAACATATGATTGGCCACATGTAAATATGGACTCCCCAATATCAATTATTACGCTATTTAAGCTGAGGCCCTGGCATTTGTGAATTGTAACCGCGTAGGACATCGATATCGGGAATTGCTCTCGATACACAAATGCGTTAAATCCATAACTTGAAACTTGACGTTTACTCGCTGTAGGTGATGGGTAATGCCACAATCAAAGTTAATTGTCACTGAGTCTACGTCATCAGAATTGTCTGTATTAAACCTCAACCCCGTTACTGTTCCAATGGCGGAGTTAACTAGCCCCACAGTGACGTCAATGTTTCTAAGCAACATAACTTTAGCACCAACCTTAATAGGAATAATTTTCTCCATACCAGCCGTTCTGCTGCAGTCAGAGTTGTAAGAGGACAGTATCTTTTTAACTTTGTTTTGTTGACGAGGTACACAGTCAACTGAGTCTTTTGCAACCAAGTTGCAAACAAGGACCACTTACAAACAAGGACTGTTGCAAATGTTGCAACAGGACCACTTATTCTATTGACCATTTCATCATTTATTATGGAGCATTGGTAACCAGTTGAACAAAGACACACAGAATTGTTGGGTAAAGCAGACAAGTAATCTCCTAATAGAGAAAGGTTTTCACAAGCAGTTTTTCCATTAAGATGTATTTTCTTGCTTTCAATTAGACGGATGTCCTCAACGGTCATATTGCCTACTCTGACTTTGCTTAACACATCAGCAAACTTAGAATCTTGAGCTTGTCGCATGTTTGTAGTAAGTTCATCATAAGAGAACTGTTCAGACCAGATGTTAACACAAGACAGAGAGCCAACAAAAGAACTAAGTTTGCTACTGTCAAGTTCAATGAATGGGGAGTCTTCGTGTACTGGTGGAAGTTGTAAAAGGTCTCCAAAGAGCAGTATATGTTTTTTACCAAACCAGCCGTTACTTTGGTCTGAGGTGTTGAATATTTCACACAATCTGAGATTTATGTACATCAATGTTAGATTGGAGACCATGGACACTTCGTCTATTATGAAGAGCACCACATCTTTCAGGTTGGATCTCAACATTTTTAAAACATCATCAGTAAGAGCTTTGTACTTTGGAGTTTTTCCATGCTCAACTGGCAGCTGAAACACTTTGTAGATCGTAGAACCATTGATGTTGTAAGCACTTAGTCCTGTGGGAGCTGATATTGATGTAGAGGCTTGAAGACATTTTTTAGTCCAAGAGCTGATAGTTTTTATGAGAAAACTCTTACCAGTACCTCCCACACCACTTACAAAATGTCTGAGAAATTTATCTGTCCCATCAGAGTTTGCAACAACTCGTTTGACATAATCAAACACTCTCTTTTGGTCGTCATTGAGTTTTTGGTATTTTTTCTCAAACGGCTCGTCATTCGGCGACCAATTGCTGTCCCTGACAGGCTGGGATGCGGGGACAGGTTCATTAAAGGGCTGAAAGGCTATATTGGATGGATCAGCAACCTCTCCTTCTTCTGCATTGATCTCTTCAACTCGGTTTTGAATTTTGTCTCTTGCATTCTCCGATGCCGCAATAATGTCTTTTAAACGTTTGTCATAGTTGAAGGCTTGAGTGAGAAGTGTCCGCTTGGCCATAAAAGCATCTGTGTATGTTTCATGAGACTCTTTCAGCTCATCAGTAGATCTCCAACAAAGAAACATAAGAAGTAATGCATGGTAGTATTTTTCAGGATCCTGAGTGGGGCTGTACTTATAGTGATTCAGTAAGCATGGTCTGACTCTTTTAGTGAGGAATTTGCCTGAATTCAACTTATGCACTTCACGGTCGCCTTTAGGTGGTTGAGCAGCTATATCGTACCATCTCACAAAGTCGTATAAGTTCATATCTTCTAGTTCGTCTGGTCTAGTTAGGTAGTGGTCATCAACCCACGACTCGTAGAATATGTTCGATATCTTTTACTGTTGTAACAAAGTAATAACTGCTGCTTCTACTGTTCTGTTAATAACAGCATGTACAAATTCTTTGAACCAATGGGCCATCTTTGATTTGATATTTGTTCATCATTGGCTGTTGTCCAACCTGAAGATGTCTTTATGGTATAAGTGTAATGCCCTCGTGATATTGCATCTCCGTGATGAAAAATTGCTGCTGTAGGTCTATATGTTTTATTACTAGAGATGTGCGAGTACTCGAGATTACGAGTTCGAGTCGAGTACGGCCTTGAAACTCGAGCTTATCTTTGAACTCGGCAGATTCGAGTAGAGTTTGGTTTAAAATTGTAAAAAATCAATATTTGTTAAAATGTAAGTTGTGTTTACATAAAATGCTTTATAATTTGTATTACTATAGATTCTACAGTAATACAAATATTTCTACAGTGTAGAAATAAGCAAGAGGTAGTTGTCCTAACCTATTTTTATAGCTGTCACAACAGAATAGGTCAACTCAAAGCAGTCGCCGGACTGACTGGCAATGGCATAATCTGGACTTGACACTGAATGACATGATCGGTAGTGATTTTGTTTTAAAGTACTGTTTCACAATAGAAAATTCCACTACTGAACTGTTACAAGCAATAAATCTATGTTTAAAAAAGTCAGTTAAGTTTTAAAAAGAATAGAAACACTACAAAAGGCAAAACAATAGAAGGAGGGAGGGGTTGTGCAATGACCTCGAACTGAGCCGGCAGCCCGGCAGCCGGCAAGTCGGCAACAGTGAATGGTGTAGGGGGTTGGGGGGAAGGGGAGGGTAAGACCTTGGAGCTATATTTAGACCAGACTAGACTTTCACCACTTCCGAAATGGCTGGGTAGGGGCAGGGGGATTACAATAGCA